CATTGGCATCGGCAACAGGTGTGTCTATAGCAAATTTAGAGATTTTAAAATATTTGTTTCTGTGCACTCTCTGCAATAAACGGAGAACTTGCCTTCGTTTATTGATCGAAGAAACAATATTACTGATAGAAAAGGTGAAGACTAAGGCCTCTGAAAAGTTGTGGTGTTGCTAAGATTGGATTTGTTAATTGACGATGATGGCGTAATATCTTTTAACGTACCAAGTCCACAGTCCAACGCTGGAAATTATCACGGATACTCTGATAGAGGACTCCGGATAAGGTGTATTCACCTGAGTTCCCCTAAAGATAAAACCATGTTGCGTAAACGAGGTCAAGCAATTTCAAGATATCTCATTTTTAAGCATAGTTTGTAAGCTTTAAAGGATTAGCGTTCTAAAATATTCGTTCTTATATTTTAAGGACTAGTATGGCCTATGTACAACTATGCTATGTCAAATATATTATCTGTGGTTGCGACCTATTTATTTAATCATATAGCATACAAAGCTTTATTAATAGATATCTGCTCTGTCTCTCAAGTGATCCTGTGTGCTCTTCCTAACTCCCCTCCCCTTCCGTCCTAAATCTCTTTCCTTATACAGTCCTCATCTACTGATGATCGTATCTCTGGGCGTCACCATGCTCATCTTTCTCGTCCCTCAAGAGCAGGTCACCCCTGCCTCCGCCATGATCCTATCTGTTCCCCGGGCATCTCTGCCGCGTCGACCAGTCTGCAGACCAAAGAACCATATGTCCAAGATTGCTGGTTTGGTCGACGGCCCTCTGTACCAGCTAGTCTTCCTTCTTCGCCTCAAATTCACAGAACATCTGCTTTACGCCCAAAAATTATGCCTACCACTACAGTCCCCTTTAATGGAATCAGCATCATCACTAACACAAGTAACAAAAATGAAAATATGACAAACAGCGTACAAACGTTGACTGCTAGTAGTTCTTTTGCATTATGTACTACTAATAATAGATCTCATCTTCATCCCGCCTATAGTCGTACAGGCGTTCCAACTTCGACCAGATATGAAGGACTCATTCCTAACGACCAAAAAGAATCCTCTTGCAACACATTTTTATCAGCCTCTTCTCAGGCCAAACAACCATCAACAAACCTTTCTCTCGTTCAGCTCTTTGATGGGCCTAGTAAAATTTGCCTGGACTCTGTTCCCGGAGCACCTCAGGCTCCTCGCAGGCGTCGACATCCACAGGATATTCATAACCAGAAATCCCCACCTCCGGGCTGTGGCAGTGGGCCATCTGCTAGCGACAGCCTGGCTCGTTTGACTGAGGATCAGGTGCTTGCACGGCTGCTAGCCGTTGTTTCGTTCGGCCAACCTACCGACAAGTATCGGCTACTGGAAAAAATCGGACAAGGGTTAGCTTATTTTTGGAAGGCGTCTCTGAATATATGCATTTGTTTCTTATTGTATGCAATGTTTATATTACTACATTTACTTAAGATATTGAATGCTGGCAGTGAGGCACTCTTTCTCTCCTGGCTATTTGTTTAAATCTCTTTCCACAACTAACATAATCGAAATAGGTTCGCAAAATATATTAAAACCCTTTATAACATTCTTGGATAGATCTTTTAGCGTTTGTCAGTCTCTGGCTGAATATTAAAGGCTTGATAAAAAATATTTTTATCCACCTAGACTAGTACATACTACAATAACCTGAAGGAAGTTAAGCTGCCATTTTTATCTCCTGAAATATTGTTCATTTTTGTTACTGTAAAAACAGGGCTTCAGGAGTTGTGTCGATGGGTTTTGAGAAATCTACCGGCAAGCATGTGGCCATCAAGCAAATGAGCCTACGCCAGCAGCCTAGGAAGGAGTTGATTCTCAACGAGATACTTGTAATGCGGACGCATAGTCATCCAAATCTTGTTAATTATCTCGACAGCTATCTGGTTAGTCGCATCCTCTAGTTTCCCGCCCTTGTCTCTATAATTTGTTAACTGTGCTAGCTGACACATTTCTTATTGGCATTAATTGACGTATACTGCAGAACAGACGTTAACATTTTTTCACAAGTCAACTCCTTGACCACTTTCATCGCCAATCTTTCATGTTATTTGCCTTTGTTGGTGAATTGAAGCACCTATTCATTTCATCTAGTATAATTTATTTTTTTACTAACGATGCATCAAATTCAATAAATTATGACAAAATCTTTTTATAGAATACTTGCCCAAAACTTGTGCTTTTACGAAATTTAAATTTAACTTATTTATTATTTAATAAAATTCACCTAATTGCCCTTATTTTGAGTAATTCTTAACCACTGTGATCATACAACACTTTCCTGTTTAATCTCTTCTTGGCATCTTTATTAATAAGTAGTTGACATTAATGAATTACTGCATTCCATGTTGAGGTTAAGGTCCTGCTTTTTCCTGAGGATTCTTTTCTTTTTTGTCTGATAGTGTTTTG